AAACATCCTAACACAGTTTTTGCAAGTGTTGACTAATTTGTGATCATTTCCTTTCTGCCAGGATGTGATGGTCTGGGGAGAAAAACATTTCCTGGTTAGGAAGGAAAGACTTCACTTTTGCCTTCTTGTTCAGTTTGGTCCCACCTCATTTCTTGGACTGCACTGATCACAGTGAAACTGTGAGAATGAATAAAAAAACAAACAGACAAAATACATTGTATCTGCTTTGCTTGCTTCGTTACCTTGGCAGCTGCACCCACATTTATGATGAAAATTTCTGGAGTACATTTTAGAAATAATTATATAATAAAGGGTTTTAGAAAAATGATCAACATCTCCCTATTTCTAATATGGAGAGGTATTTCTATAATACTATTCATTATTGTAAAATTATAATAATCATTACTACCATTTTTTTTTCCTTTCGGATGTTCCCTTCATCAAGGGTCTCCACAGCAAACTAACTCCCACGAAGACTTGGTATTTGTTTTTCTGCCAGATGCTCTGACACAACCACAGACCACCGAGCTACCACAGCCCTCTGTGTGGAGCAGAGAGCTGCCAACTAGGGTGCCCGGAGGAGCAATGGTGGGGGTTAAGGGCATTGCTCAAGGGCCCAGGGTGGGGCAAATGAGGGTGGAGGCAGGTGCGGGTGCTTCACTATTCCCACCCACATTTTGGTGTTGTCTGTTCCTGGAGTTCAACCGGCAACCTTTTGATCACGGACATGCCTTCTCTAACCTCTGCCCCACCACTCCCCCAATAATTATTACTTTTTCATTCATTCAACCTTTATTTATACAGGTAAATCCCATTGAGCCTCGAGGACTCATTTACAAGAGAGACCTGATTTCAACAAAGAAAGATGACAACAATGGACAACGGCGACGATAGACAAATATAAAAAGGCATACAGATTTTTTTTTTAATTACAAATAAGCTGGCAAAAATGTAACAAACAGCTAGATTCTAAGGTGAATGTAGAAAACTAAAAACAGGAACATGTCTGCATTGGACCCTGCCAGGAGTCCAACAGATTCTTAAAGCCACTTAGAGTGGTCAAGGTCGAGAGCTTCAAATCTTTTTGTAAGATATTCCAGGAAACAGGAGCGGAGTAGGAGAAGGCCCTTTTGCCAAGTTCAGTCCTCATTGAGGGAACACTGCAGGTAATAATGTCCTGAGAGTGCACGCTGTAGCTGCACTCACGCAGAGACATGTAGGAGGAGATGTATGAAGGCAGCAGACCAAGAAGTGATTTAAAGATGAAAATGTACCAGTGAAGTCTGCATGAAGTTAATGATGTCCAGTTAACCAGTGATTACAGGGTGCAGTGGTGGGTACGATAGTTACAGCCAGTTATGAATCTTGGTGCACCATGATAGACAGCATCCAACATCTGCAGGGTTCTTGTAGGAGCGTTCATGTAAATAATGTCACCGTAATCAATGGAGGGAAGGAAAGTCACAGATACAAGGTGTTTCCTAGCATTCAGGGTTAGACAGGATCTGTTTCTGAAAAAGAAACCCAGTTTAACTTTCATTTTCTTTACTAGGTTTTCCACATGGAGCTTAAAAGAGAGATGTGAGTCGACCAAGATACCCAAATATTAAATATTACTAATAATAATAATCATAATAAAGTACTCCCTCGCTACTTTGTTGTTCGTTGATTGCGGACTCGCTCTATCGTGGTTTTTCAAAATAAGATTGGACATGATGCGCAATTGGCTGATTGATGGATGATCCACACAATCTTTTGAATAAATAATTTTAAATTACTTGGCACCTGTTGCACATCTGTTCAGCCCAGAGCTGCAGAAAAAGCTTCCTCCTGCAACCATGTGCAGCCCATACTGCAGGATAAATTTCCTGCTGCAGCTGATCAGCTGTTCAGCGTGCAGAGCAGAGAAGTGGGCGTGGCCAAGAGCGCTTGCAGGTGGCAAAGAGCAGAGAGCTGAAATGATGACATTCTGTGCTCTTTTAGAGCGTTTATGAGTTTAGAAACATTGTTTAGAATATTGCAAGAGTGTGGGAAGAATTTAAAACGCCTTAATAATAAAAAAAATGTATCTATCTATCTATTTATCTTTCCATCTCTCTCTCTCTCTCTCTCTCTCTATCTCTATCTATCTATCTATCTATCTATCTATCTATCTATCTATCTATCTATCTATCTATCTATCTATCTATCTATCTATCTATCTATATGTATATATGTATATATATGTATGTATATATATATATATATGTATATATATATGTATATATATGTATATATCTCTCTCTCTATCTATCTCTATATCTATATACTAAAATAAACTACTACTTACTACTTGGGGCGGCTGTGGCTGAGTGGTTAGAGCAGTCGTCCTCCAATGCAAGACTTGGGGGTTCAAATTCACCAGCAGTCACATGCCGAAGTGTGTCTGGGCAAGACACGGAACCCCTTGTTGCCTCCGATGTGTGTCCCATCGGTGTATGAATGTGATGAAGCTCTGATTAGTCTCTTTAGAATGATTTGTTCAATTAGCTTTGTAGAGATCTAGTAGAGTGCTGTATGAATGGGTAAATGAGGCACAGATTGTAGTGTAAAGCGCTTTGAGTGTCTCGATAAGATAGAAAGGTGCTATATAAATGCAGTTCATTTACTTGTACTACTATTCCTACTTCGTGGTTTTTCACTTATTGCGGGTCTTCACAGGGTGCAGATCCCCCGAGATAAATGAGGGACTACAGTAATAAATAATATTAAATAAATGGTCAACATCTCCCTGTTCTTAAATATACTCCAGCAATTTAAATAAAATAAAATGAATACAATTTTTATTTTAATATCTTCTCTGTGAATTGACACCTTATCGTATTGGAAGAGTTTGTGTTACTGAATGATCTTAGCAGCTATGCTTTTGGAGGCAATTACCTCTGGTATGATCTCCCAAGGTAGAGTGGTCTTAGGTGACAGGCTAGACAAAACCTCGTGTGGACAGTTGACAACATGGTGCTCGATGTCCCTCACCTGGATGTAGGTTTCTGGGTCCCCACCCTGTAATCAGTCCTGGGCGAGGGGGCTATTGGCAAGTGCTTGGTGACTGGGTCATTACCCATAGGTCCCTGTCGGGCTCAGCCTGAATGAGTTAATCCGATTTACTTTCCTGTGGACACACCACCTGCAGGAGGGGCCATACAAATTGGGTGGGTGGTAGCTGAAGGTGCGGGCAATGGCTCTCTGACCCTGGCTTACCAAAGCTGGCTTTTCGGACATGAAAGGTCATCTCTCTGGCAGGGAAAGAGCTTGAGCTTGTGCGTGAATTTGATAGGTACCATTTGGATATAATTAGGCTCATTTCTATGCATGGCATGGGTTCTGGTACCAATCTGTAGGAGTTTGGTAAGGCCTTGTATATAGACTATTGACTCTGAAGAGTTTGGGTTGTAATGCTGGCAGTAAGTTGGACCCTGTCAAGACTGTCTGTTGCCACCGATTCTAGTTATACTTTTTATGTACAGACTTTCTTGTTCTAGCCATTGGACAGAGGGAGTCTCCATATTGTGGCCTCAGGATTCTTTCTCTATTTGCAGATGACATGGTCCTGTTAGCTGTGATCTCCAGCTCCCACTAGAGTGGTTCACATTAGAGTGTGAATCTGCTGGACTGAGAATTAGCACCTCCAAATCTGAGTCCATGATCCTCAATAGGAGAAGAGTGGATTGCCATCTCTGGGTTGGGAGAGAGGTGCTCCCTCAAGTGGAGGAATTTAAGTATCTAGGGGTTTTGTTCATGAGTAAGCATGTGATCTTGACAGATGGATCTCTGGAGCTTCTGCAGTATCTGTGTTGGTCTGTTGTGAAGAAGGAAGGAGCAAGACTGTCTTTTTATTTGCCGATCTATGTTATACCCTCACCTATGATCACAAATGGTGGGTAGTGACCAAAAGGACAAGATTGTGGATACAGGTGAAATGAGTTTTCTCCACTGAGTGGCTGGACTAAGAAGTTCAGTTTTCTGTGATCGACTTAAAGTCGAGCTGCTGCTCCTCCGCATAGAGATAAACCAATTTAGGTGGTTCAGGCATCTGGGAAGGATGTCCCATGGATGCCTACCTGGGAAGTTTTCTGAGAATGTCAGACTGGGAGGAGACCCTGGGGAAGACCCAGGACACACTAGAGAGACTATGTCTCTCGTTTGGCCTGGAAAAACCTTGGAATCCTCCCAGAAAAGCTGGAAAAGGTGGCCGTGGACAGAGATGTCTGGACCTCCCTGCTCAAACTGCTGCCCCTGAGACCCGACTTAGGAACATGCAGAAGATGATGGATGGATTGAAGAATGGATGGATGGATGTTAGAACAGACAGTGCAATCAAAAATAAATTGTTTGGGTATGTTAGAGGTGTGTGTGTAGGTTGTATGTGTGCATGCGTGCATGTGTGTGTGCTGAGGCTTTATGGTTAGTTTTGTAAATGAGTCTGCTGTTATAAGTGATTTTGCTCCATGTGAGGTAGAAGTTATGTTAGTTTTGCAAAAACATTCTTACATAAAACCACCATGAATAAAACTTGTTAGTGCATGCATTTTTCTAATGGCAGCTGTGTGCTGGCTCTGTGGTTACGTAATTTAAAGGTTGCCAGTGATCCCTTAATAAGCTTTTCCCCCACTTGGGCCAGTTTACCTCCTTGACTTGCTATGTGACTGCAAAGAGTAAGAATCTTCACATTACAATGCTTAAAGAGAGCAGACGGTTAAGATTTTCTCTTAAATGGTGAGTCAATCTTTGACTTTATCCTCATGAACTTATGTGTAGGAGTATCAGACTGTTTAATTTGGGTTCACTGTGATAAGGTAAGCAGTTGACATAAAAAAAAAACAGAAAAGTATTCAGATTATTTATTTTTCTTCAATGTTACTGTTAAATAAACAGTAACTTATTTATCATAAAAGATAATAAAATACAGTATATACACTTATTCAAAACATTATTTCAACTGGACTTGTAATGTTCTGCAGGAAAGTATCTGCTGCTGCTCCCCAACCTCCAGATGACACAGATGGCACTGCAGCCATCACCTGAAACCTCAAACCTGGTTCGTATGCGATCCCTACACCTCGGAATGTCGGACCCATCACTTACCTCCAGCGTGGTGAGTTGTTTTTGATTTTAGATTGGACTCTTATTCTCTGTGTCCTGTTATCAGCCTTTCAGCATGTCAAACTGAGGACAATGTTTGGTTAAAACCTACTCTACAGCAGTAATGTTTTACAAATTGGGGAAATTCATTTATCCATCCATTCTTCTTCTACCACTTATCTGTGGTCTGGTCACAAATGCAATGGGTCCTGGATGGAAATCCAGACATTCCCCTCCCCAGAAATACTCTCCAGCTTTTCTTGGGGGATCCCAACAGCTTTTCTTGGGGGATCCCAATGCACATCCAGGCTATCGAGGATATACATTTCCTCTAGGAAGTTCAGAAAATCTCCGAAGGGAGGTGTCTAAGTGGCATCATAATCAAAGACCTAAACCACCTTAGATGTCTCCTTTCAATACGAAGGAATAGCGGCTATAATTAGAGCTCCCCTCAGATGACAGAGCTCTACACCATATCTCGAAGGCTGAGCCCATCCACACCTTATGGAGGAAGCTCATATGTCACTTGTTTCTAAATGTTCTTTGGCTCATTAGGAAACCTTGAGATCTCATCTCTGCTTTTGCAGACGATATGGTTCTGTTGTCTTCAAGCTCGTTATGCCATGACCAGTAGTTTCCAAAGGTCCTCTTCTACAGGTGGTTAAAGTGCCTGTGACATCAAATTTTCATAATAAGCAAGCGTGCATTTTTGGATGGATAACGTTAATGAATTTAATTCAGTAGATAAATGGATCTTTATTGTCACTGTACACTTCGTGTACCAGCACAACAAAACTGGAGGACAGTCCTCCTGTCCTTCTGTGAAAGCATGCAACTTAATAAAAACATACAGGGCTAATTAAAAAGCTCTGTATCAAAGTGTTTAAAAACAGAATCAAAATACTATAAAGACATTTACACAAAACATAACTTATACAATATTTTAACATACTTAAATACAATATAGACTGATAAATCAAGTTTGACATGGTCAAGGCAATCACCCTATGTCCTGGGTGTGTGCTATTCCTTAGAATGCTGCGTGGCCTCTTGAGACAGCAGGTTTTGAAGATGTCCACCAGGGAGGGGAAAGGGCGATTAATAACATTTCCCAGCCATGTTAATCACTCTTTGTAGTGCCATCTTGTGTGCTGTGGTGCAGCTGGAAAAGACATGCAATATGTCAGCACACTTTTATTGGAGCAGCGGTAGAAGTTGATCTTTTTGAGCATATGCAGAAAGTCGAGGCACTTCTTGGTCCTCCACAACTGCCGTAGTGTTAGAGGTCCATTTTAGGCCTACGTCCATGTGGACACTCAGGAACTTACACGCACTCCCCATTCATGCAGATGAGCTGCACATTAATGTCACACATAAAAAGAAAAAAAATCATTCCGCTGGGATGATTGTTGCATGCAGTAACAGAAAGTGATGACAAAGGGGAATGCCAGCATCACTTTTTTCTCGGCTGCTCCCTTTTTCAGGGGTCGCCACAGCAAACTAACTCGCATGAAGACTTTGCAGTTGTTTTTATGCCAGATGCCCTTCCTGACACAACCATAGACCACCGAGCTACCACAGCCCTCTGTGTGAAGCTGAGAGCTGCTGTCTAGGGCACCCAGGGGAGCAGATGGTGGGGGTTGAGGGCTTTGCTCAAGGGCCCAGAGTGGGGCAAATGAGGGTGTAGGCAGGTGTGGGTGCTTCATCTATCCCACCCATATTTTGTTGTCTGTACAGTGAGTCGAATCGGTGACCTTCCGATTACTGGCCCACCTTCTCTAACCTCTGCACCACCACTCCCCTATGTAAATGGAACATTGCTAAAATGGCTAAAAACAAATGGAAGCAAATAATTTGATGTTTCTTTAGATTATTTTGAGTCACTATTGGAGAGATGATAAACCATATAAACAAAGACCAGGGAGTTCCCCTATAATGTTACTTCCTGTTTCACTATGGTTGCGCAGTGAAAAAATAAATAAATAAAAAATCAGTTATGTGACAAAATTCCCAATTTTTTTAATAGAAATGTTTTCTTTCACCTTTGTGTCTGTAGGATATCCATGTCACAGGCACTTTGAAACATGCGAGGACTTCCATGATATAATTTATAAGATGGGCCAGTTACAAAGAAACAAGTTCTCAAAATACAGTATGAAATATTACACTGCTTTTATCTGTTCTTGATACCAGAATAAAGTTGTACTACTTCAAGCCCTAAAGATCAAGACCACACTGAACATATTTGATAAACCCATTGTTCATTTGTTCCCTGTAACATTCACAGTTTTTATAGCAGTTATGTGTTCAGACATTTTTTATTTAACCTGGCTTCATTGATTTTGGTCATTTAGCATTGTCTGTGCTTTTAAACAAACACTATAATCATCAGTTCCTCCATGTTTTAATTTTGTATAAGGCTATTAATTTTAAATGTGATGAAATACTGGTATGTTTTGTTAATGGTTCTCATCTGTCACTGCTGCCAGCTGATAACAGCCCACACATTATTGTTGCACAGTGTTCATTAAATGCCCGTTTTTATGGAGCATTAGTGCTGCTTATAAAGGATCGTTTACTGCACAGTGATGCAATGCTGTAGTGTTTTTTTCCTGGCATTATATACCATTATATAACATCAGAATATTTAAAAATACATAGAAACCTTGTTAAAGTAGGGTCATTCCTCCTTAAACCAGAGGACAAAAGTGACCTTCAGTGTGTTTGTGCTGTTTTCTCATATCACACTGACGACATGCTGTTACATTGTTATTGTCTGAGCAGTGAGATGCAATCAAAAGTAGGAGCTAATGATGTTAAGCATGGAGTCGTCCCGTGTGTGCGTTCTCAGTATCCATTAGATAAAAGGTTAATTCAATAAAGAAGCATGTGAGGCGTTTGTCTGTGTAAATACATATGGGTCGTTTTAGAAGTACTGTGAGGGTGGATTTGGGAAGGGGTACATTGTATATGAGAATATATGAGGGATTATATTTGAGTGCAGATACTGTATGCAAGAATGTATAAGCGAGGAGTAAAAACATGCCGTTGCATATTTGCGGTAGAGCTGCACAAGTTTTGCAAATTTAACATAATATCGTTGAGCACTGATAAATGCCAGGATGTATATGTGAGGGGCTTTGACTGAGAGTGGATATGTGGGGGAAGGGTATGTGAAGGTGTGTATGCAAGGGGATATGTGAGGGGATATTTTTGCTCATTGACACTCACACCCTCAGTGATGTAAACAGGATGAACCCAAATAAAGAAACTGTAACCTGAACTGGAAGGGGTCTAACTGTTTGTCAGCTGGTTCATGACATCATGTTTACCTTTTTTACACTCAAAACATTGTGCTCCAAAACATAAGATGCATTTTAAATTATGCATGTATATATATATATATATATATATATATATATATATATATATATATATATATATATATATACACACACATACCTGTTAGACAAATTTTGTTTCTGAAAGATCATTGTCTAACCTAGTTCCTCACACATGGGGGCACTAAGGTTTCACAATTTGGAACTTAAGTTTACTGAACAAAAATATAAATGCTACCCTTTTTTGCTTCCATTTTTCATGAGCTGAACCCGAAGATCTGATGTTTTTCTATGTACACAATAAGTCTTTTTCTCTCAAAGATTGTTGACAAATTTGTGTGAATCTGTGTTAGTCAGAACTTCTCTTTTGCCAAGATCATCCATTCACCTCATAAGTGTGGCATATCAAGATGATTACATTATTGCACATTTTAAAGTGGCCTTTTATTATGGTCAGCCTAAGACACACCTGTGCAATAATCATGCTGTCTAATCAGCATCTTGATATGCCACACCTGTGAGGTGGATGTATTATTATCTTGGCAAAGGAAAAGTGCTCATTAACACAGATTTACATAAATTTGTGAACAGTGTTTGAGAGAAAGCAACCTATTGTGTACATAGAACAAGTCTTAGATCTTTGAGTTCATGAAAAATGGGAGCAAAAACAAAAGTGTTGTGTTTATATTTTTGTTCAATTTAGTTGTATCGCCATGCTTACAAAAGTCACAGATGAATTCCTATTGGTTCTTGTGTCCTGCTGTGTCCTTTCATCATTCCCGATAACATAATTGTCCTCCAGCTCAAGCCTTCATTCAATTTACAGTTTACAGCTTGACCATCAGTTATCTGTTATTTTAACTGTGGAATAGCTGTAGCTCCTTGACTAAAACAATCACGACACTTCAGAAGCCTGACATCCATTTTCCCCCATCAGACTCTGATAATGGAATTCAATTCAATTCAATTTATTTATATAGCACCACATCACAACAGAAGTCATCTCAGGGCACTGTACAAAAACATTCGCAAACATACAAATGCCAATTAGTAAAAGTTCTCTATCTAAGGAAGTGTAGCAGATTAGGAAGCCAGCAGACTCTGTGAATCTTCACTTCGTTGCAGTCTCCCATCCTGAGCAAGCACAAAGGCAACAGTGGAAAGGAAAAATTCCCTTTTAACAGGAAGAAACCTCCAGCAGAGCCAGGCTCAGGACAAGCGGCCATCTGCGTCGATCGGCTGGTTTGAGAGGACAAGTAGGAGAAACAAATAAACACAGAATGACAGGTCCAGATGTAGGTGCAGATTAAGCCCCTATTAGAAGAAAGACAAAAAACATGTTAAGGTTAGGAAAAATATATAAATACAAAACAGGTAGAAATACAAAAGAGTAAGTAAAGACAGCAGCAAAGTGAAGAAATGTGGCCAGTTTGCCCTCCAACAGTCTAAGCCTATAGCAGCATAACTAAGGGATAACTCAGAAAACCCAAGCCAACCCTAACTACAGGATTTATCAACAATGTAAGACTTGAGCCTAATCTTAAAAGCAGAAAAGGTGTCAGCCACATGGACAGAAATTGTAAGTTGGTTCCAGAAGAGAGGAGCCTGATAACTGAAAGCTCTGCCTCCCATTCTGCTTTTGGA